CATGGCTGCACCTCTGCAGCGCTGTCCCCCATTGTGTCACCCCGTGGCCTCCGTGCCAGGAGTGTGGGACTGGGCAGAGCGTCTTGTGCAAGAGCCAGCACCGCTCCAGGACCTCTCCAGACAAGAGCATATTTGAAATTCCCAGAAGGTTTTGATGTGGTTGCTCAACCAAGTTCCTTAAAGAAATTGAACTGTCAGGGCTGTGCTCTGTGTTAACGTGGGGTAGCGGGTGGCTTATTCTCCGTGTTCCGCCATCTCCATGTTCCCCCATCTCACGGTTTAACCACTGGGTTCCCAAACACCAGCACAAACAGGTGTCACTCCCAGTGTCCCCAGTGCTCCCAGCCACCAGGTCAACCTGTCCCTCTGGTGCTGGGTGAGGTGCTTCTGGGTGGACCTCGTCCTCTCTGGGGTCCCACCTGCTGCCAGTGCTCTCATGGGGCCTCCATGAGCTCCTGGGATCCCAGTGCTGCCCTTGAAATGTCAAAGCATGCCTTGAAATGTCCTTTCTGGGTAATGGCAGTGTTTTTGGGTGGAAGTGTTGATCTGCCTGAAGGTAGCAAGGCTGTACAGAGGGCCCTGGCCAGGCTGGGGCGATGGGCCCAGGCCAACTGTATGAGATTCAACAAGGCTCAGGGCCGGGTCCTGCACTTGGGGCACAACAACCCCAGGCACCGCTGCAGGCGTGGGGAGGAGCGGCTGGGAGCTGCCCGGCGGGAAAGGGCCTGGGGGTGCTGGTCGACAGCCGCTGAATGTGAGCCAGCAGTGTGCCCAGGTGGCCAAGAGGGCCAGTGGCATCCTGGCTTGTATCAGGAACAGTGTGGCCAGCAGGAGCAGGGAGGTGATGGTGCCCCTGTGCTGGGCACTGGTGAGGCCGCCCCTCGAATGCTGTGCTCAGCGCTGGGCCCCTCACCCCACGAAGGCCATGGAGGGGCTGGAGCGTGGCCAGAGCAGGGCAGCGAGGCTGGGGCAGGGGCTGGAGCCCAAGGCTGGGGAGGAGCGGCTGGGGGAGCTGGGGGGGCTCAGCCTGAAGAAGAGGAGGCTGAGGGGAGCCCTCATCGCTCTCTGCACCGGCCTGAAAGGCGGCTGGGAATATATGAAAACAAGCACGAGCGAAGTCACAAGTCTTAGAGAGAACAAGTCTTAGAGCACAAGTCTTACGAGGAGCAGCTGGGGGAGCTGGGGGGGCTCAGCCTGGAGAAGAGGAGGCTGAGGGGAGCCCTCATCGCTCTCTGCAACTGCCTGAAAGGAGGCTGGAGCCGGGGGGTCGGTCTCTTCTGCCCAGTAACAAGCGATGGGACGAGAGGGAACGGCCTCAAGCTGCGCCAGGGCAGGTTTGGGTTGGGTATTAGGAAAAATTTCTTCATGGCGAGAGTGGTCAGGCCCTGGCCCAGGCTGCCCAGGGCAGTGGTGCAATCACAGTCCCTGGAAGTGTTCAAAAAACGTGTGGATGTGGTGCTTAGGGCCATGGCTTAGAGGTGGGCCAGGCAGTTAGGGTAACGGTTGGACTTGATGATCTCAGAGGTCCTTTCCAACCTAAACAGTTCTATGATTCTATGATTCTATGGCTTGGTCATTGATTACTTGGAGTCCATGAGAATGCTGTTGGAGACTCGTCTGTGGTTACATTGCTCACCTGAGTGGAGAGCTGTTACTGAATACCCAAAATGCTGGGTTTTGGCACATCCTACCCCAATGCCCTGCTCTTCCAAGAAGCTGGCTGAAGTGGTGCCCTGCTGCAGCCTGCAGTGGGGTGCTATGTTCGATGGGGACACCATGCAATGCACTGGCACTCTTCATCAACTGCAGTGGATTTGGAGCACCCTTGCCACCAGCAATGCCTGCGTGTGCCACTATGCTGATGTGCACCACATGGACACCATGGTTTTTTCTCCCATCCTAGGCAACTTCCAGCCTGGTGAGTTGTCACAAGTGTAGGAAATGGATTACCAGCCTGGAAAACCTCCAGTCACATGGAGAAGGGACGTTTCCTGAACCCTGGGCAGGACCTGGCCTGCTGGGGACATGGTTTGCAGGAGTTTGCAGCCCAGGGACCCCAGCACCAGCTCCCTGCCCGGTTGCCTGGACTGCACCTCCAGCAAAGCACAGAAACGCCATGAGAAGGAAAAAGGCAGCTGGGTCCATGCTGGGGTTTTAAGGGAGGAGAATGAGGAACAGGAGCAATCTTGGCCCTGCTGAAACCCCTGGCCAAGCTCAGAGGCTTAATCTCAGCCTGGGGCATGGGGAGATGTGAGATTTCGGAGTGATTCCTTTCCTTTGCCTGCTGGGCACCCCATGGTCTTTATGGACAGGGTGAAGAAGTTTTGCAGGACATAGGTATAAGCCTGACACAGCCAGACCGGATCAGACACCCTACTTCACCTCTGACATGGGGTGAGCCCTGGGATGGTGTTTTGCAATAACGCAGGCAATAGCCCAGCGTAGCCCTGAGGAGCGCTTGGGAAATAAATACAGGGAGGACGGAGCATGGTAATGGTCTGATAAGTGTCTTGAACAGATAGAGCTCGTAGAAATTGAGATTGAGAGACAGGAAAACTGCTTAACTGATCATGATCTGCATCAGACAGCTGAACTGGCAAAACTCCCAGCACCCGATGTGGAATCTGAGAGGGGATGACAACATCCCCTGCCCGGCCACCGGCCCCAGCGCTGCTCCTGCGTGCCTTGGGAGACCCTCAACGCAGGTCACTGCAAGCCTGCCCTAACAACTCTCCTTTTGATAATAAACTGAAAGCATGAGAAAAATGGTGCATGTCCTGCTGTCCAGGGAGCATGGGGAAAGACCGTGCCTCGGTGCAGTTTGTAGGCCTTTCAAGTTCCCCTGCCTGATGGCAACGTGGGGAGGAAAGACTTGGGAAGGAGGATGCCATGGGCCAGCTGAGTAAAGCCTGTCTCAGACAAGCTCAAAACTTCCATTGGTGCCTTCAGAGACACCACCAAAGGCAACGCCATGACATAAAATTAACGGAGAAGGCAAGGTCTTGAGCCATGCTTTGACCTTTGAGGGCTTGTAGAGGCTCTGCGGTCGCTCCAAGAGCCCAGGCACCGGGCAGGAGCCCTGCAGAGACCAAGGTCCCCCCAACAGTGCCTGGCTGGGCAGGCTCAGTGGCACAAGGAAGGGTTAACCTGACGGCTGTACAGGGAGATTGCTCTGCCAGGGGATCCAGAGGCTGTAGGTGGAAGGACCTGTAGGTGGAAGGACTACTTCAGATCTGGGTTTTTTTCCTGCTGTGGGGCCAGGGAGTGGGTTTGTTGCTGGTGCTGTGGGAGGGGGCTGTGCTAGCAGAGGGTCTCTCACTGTCACTCTTCCATCCCCTCTCTGAGACATTTCTCCAAGAGGATTTGCTCCTTGCAGTAAGCAGATGCTTCAACGTCACTTTATCATGCTATAGCAGGTGCCCTGGCAAGTACTTTCTCCGGAGAGTCTGCAAACACATGAGAAGAACTCATAAGGACTACCAGGGCTCAGCAATACATGATAATTTCTGTAATATTGGCTATTTTTGCACGGTGGGACATGCCTGGTCTGTCACTGGGTTTGCTACTTATGCCCAGCAAGATCAGGGAGAAGAAACTGACTTTGGGTCACTACTCATCCTTGGACAAGGCCGATTCACTTGTTCACTTACTGCTTTTATAGAGAGTAAATGGAGAGGAGCAGGAGAGGAGGAAGGAGAGGAGCAGTGAGGATGGGATCCTGGCAGGGGGGACACGGGCCTGAGGACCCCCCTCCTGGATGGATGGACTGATGGCAAGACAGGAGAACTGCAGAGTTAAGGATGAAAATTCTCTTCTTATTCAATCATTTCTCCTCCCAAGAGAGCCCCAGAGCCTGAACAACAGGCACTAGGGCAAAACAGTTGGGCAGCCATTCAACTGCATTTTGGGGGCCCTCAGAGAAGTGGAGGGGGGTCCGTGCACACAGCCCTGATCTGGGGATGCTCCAGGAGCCGAGGCGAGCTCGGACTCTCTCAGCAAGAGGACTGACCCTTTTTTCCCTGGATCTCACCCACCGAGTGGGCCACATCAGGGCTTGTGGGCACAGGCAGGCGCAGGCCAGGCAGCCCTCAGCTCCTTATCAGCACTCACTGCCCAACAGCGTGTGCAATGCCCATCAGCTGAAGGGCAGTTTTGAATAGCTTTGAAGCATTTTACAGAATAGTTCCAACTCTGTGCTTTGTGCCAAAATATTTCTCCTTCTTTTTCCCCCCTGAATTTATCAGTGAAAAAAACCTAAATATTATTTTTTTCTGATTTCAGCAAAACCCCCACCCTCAGGTAACAAAGGCAATTGGGAACATGTTGCTTGCAAAACTGCAGATGCACTTAGGAATATCCCCTGCTTTAAGGCTGTTGAGAAGGTGTTGGCCGAAGGGGGAGAGGAAAGTAAGCCATGTAACAAAGGCAACCAACTGTGCACCTTTTGTGCCAGATCATCAAGGTGCATCTTTAGCAAGAAGAGCATCACAGCGCGTGTTCGGAGCAAGCCCAACCCTGCACGCAGCGCGGCCTCTGCCCACAGACGATAGACATGCAGCTGGGGGAGAGGCTCTGTTTATTTGCAGGGTAATTGTTCCAGCTCTGCATCTAACGAGTTAAACATTTCTGTGCAGCTAAAAGGCAAACCGTGCTCCCGGCACTCACCCAGCTTCAATTCCTCTGCACAGCTTGCTCTTCTGGTTGAGGATAAAACATAGCATGTTTCAAAAGCGAAATCTGGGTGAAATCCAGGGGTGAAATCTGCCTCGAGCCAGCAGCAACGGCCACCTCGAGCACCCACTGCATCCCTCATGTGAACCCACCAAATCCTGCTGGTCCCTGAGGTCTCAAGGCCACAATCCCCATGGATTTGCTCAGCTGTGCTCATCCTGAGGGATGCTCATGCTGCTGCTCTGTGGCCCGGTGGCAGCAGTAAGGGGGTTTGGTAGAGATGTCCCCAAGGCTGGTGCAGGAGACATCGGAGCAGGGAGCCAACAGCCCAGTGGGAGGCCTGTGCTAGTGGCCTCCCGCCTCCGGCAGCTGGGAAGCGTAGAGAGCTAGTGTGTGATGGAGGAACTGGTACTGCTCGCTCGTCTGGATCATCCCGCCTCTGCAAGGGAAAGGCAGGTCCCGTTGACACCTCGCCAAAGCCCATAACCCCATTCCCGGCTCCCTGCTCCCGGGGCACAAATATTCCTGCTTCACCCACCACACACAGGTACATCTGAAACAGGTGCCCGAGCTGCCCAAAGAGTATTTGGGCTCAGCACCATTGCCGGGCTGTTCAAAATGCAAATTAGCAACTGATTTGGCTCTAATTTTTACCAGTACTTCTCCTTGAAAAGTGGCAAAATCAAGTGTTTCTGAATTTAGTGGCTGAGCTGGAAGGGGCAGACTGGCTACCAGGTTCAGAGCCACTCTCCTCTCCCTCACGTCCTCAGGTCCTCAGAGCTACAACAGCCCTGACAGGAAAACCAGTCCGTCACTGGGCAATCGTTTGCCATCACTACATCTTCATCTTTCAGCAACCCTTCTGGTTTCCATCAAAAATTGTCCCCATGCCCCTTCGTGATGCCCATCCCCACATCCCTCCTGCATCCATCCTCCTAGGCTTGGCACCCAGCAGGACCCTCCAAGGAGCAGCCTGCTCTGAGCACCCACCTGTCTATGCGGAGCCGGCACACGATTCCCAGGATATCCACATTCCCCTTGTCCTTCAGCTGCTGGCACCCGATTCTGGTAGCGATAAAGCAGCCTGTCCGGCCGATGCCTGCGCTGCGGGACAGACACAGCTGTGCTGAGCACCGACAACATCCACTACCTGGACCTTGGTCTGTCCAAGCTGGACATACTCCTGGATTGTTTGCTGCCATGATTTCTTCCTAGAGGGATGCTGCGGTCCCGATCCCAGCTGCCAGACCAACTTTCTTAGCCAGACACCAAAAGACATGGGCTGGCATCACTCTGCCATGGCAAGGGGGTCCTGCCATGTTGCACAGCCCAGCTGAGGCCGCTCTGGAAGCACAAACCCAGTCTGTGCCCCCCATCCCTGTGCAGTGCAGTGGTCTGCAGCCCGTTCACCTCCCCTCCCAGCTGTGCTCCAACCCCAGGCACCGAGGGGTCTGCCCTGGGCCAGCCTGCAGCATCACATGCCAAGTGTGTTGCGTAGGAACGACCTGCTCCACTGTCCCCAAATTCACTTAGCGGTGAGAGAAAATACGCAGAGGCCACCTCCTCCAGGAGGGCTGCCCTGAAAACCAGCTTCACAGCTGAGCCGCAGGCCATGCTCAGTGGCAGAGGTAGCAGGAGCCTGAGCCGTGGATCTGCCGTGGGTCTGGTGGCTGGGTCCTGACCCTGCAGAGCTCTCCTACTCCCATCTTGCTGTCTGCAAACCCAGGTACAAATCAGATTTCTTTACAGGGCACTATGCACCATGCTAATGCCACTATCCTGATGCCAGGACAGGAGTTGCTGGCTGAACAACTCTGCTATGGGGATGCCATGCCCTGGGATTTCTGCACCACAGCGGGACCAGCTCATGAGCATTCACATGTGGGATTTTCCCCTCCGGCATTTGCAGACAGATCCCAAGGTGAAGGGCAAACAGGGGCTCGGGTGAGGGGAAAGCCCCTACCTGCAGTGCACAACGATGGGCCCTGGGCTGGCTGGAGCCTGGAGAATCTCCTCCACCTTGGACACCAAGTGCAGCAGGGGCTTGGCTGACTCTGGTGTCTGCTGATCCGGCCAGGAAGGGAAGAGGATGTGTTTGACCTGGCGGCATTCACCTTCAAGCTTTTCCAGCACAGAAGAAACAGAAATCAGGACGCGGGAGCATCGATTCGCTGGGCTGGGCCAAATGAAGGCATGGAGTCCAGCTCAAGCAGAGGCCAGGCAGCCTGTGCCCGCCTCATCTGCTCTCCTTCCAGATCCCTCTTTGAGCCTCTACCAGACACCCAAGAGAGACCCCTGGGCCAGGGACTCTGGGAAGTGTCCCATCCCAGAAGATGCCCCGTCCCAGTACTGTCTCCACAGTCCAGGCAAAGCCAGCAAGATCCTTTTGGCTAGTGTCAGCCCAGGGTGACTATGGAGAGCCCATGGGGCAGAGCCCAGTGGCACATTGCAAACAGCAAAGGGCTAACAGAGAAGGTGTCCCCGGCTGACCCCCTCTCCTCTCCCCTCCAGGGCTGGGTCCTGCTCCCGCTCAGCCTCCTCGGGCAGCCAGGAGCTCTGCAGACCTGTCCTCTGGCAGGGGACTCATAAGACCCAGCTCTCCGAGCCATGAACCCTCTGCTCCCCTGACACACAGCGTTGCCACCCCACTAGAGAGCCTGGGGGTGTCAGGGCCACTGCCAGACCCTGCTGGGCTCCCCTTCTGACCCCAGGACAGAGCTCGAACCCACCTGGATGGAGAGATCCCGGATCACATACTCCACGCACTCGCTCACTCCCTGCACGCGGATGGTGAAGGGGCCGTAGGTGCCCTCCTTCTCCGGCCAGTAGTGGACACATTTCTGAAAGAACAAGGCAGGGTTCATGGCTGTGGAGATGCTCAAAGCACCCACTGGATGTCTGAGCTATGCTTTGCTCAGTGCTTTTGGGAAGGAGCATCACTTGGGGAGGTGTGGGGGAGTGGGGAAGGTGGATGTGGAGTGATACAGAGGGGAAGCTAAGGAAGGGATAGATCCCTCTCCCCACATCTGCTCCCCCTGCACCCTTTCCCATGCCCTGCCATATGGCTTTCAGACCCCGGGGCTGCACGGCTCCCCCCAGCACCACGGGAGCTGTGCCTGGGCCAGTCTGTGTCCTGCCAGACCAAGGAGGGCCCAGCCTGCCCAGTGGAGGGCACAGGGATGCTGTGCCAGCCAGGGAGAGAAGGGAGGGAGGAAGGACATGGCCAGGAAAGAGAGGGTGAGTTCCCCCAGGTGGGTGCTGCTTGGACGGGGAGCCGGGGACCGCAGCCAAGGCACAGGGTGGCCGCCACGCAGGGCACAGTGCTGCCGGCTCCCATCCCAGCCCACATCTGCCAGCGGAGAGCTCCCAGCCCAGGAGGAGAGCTGCTCGGGGCGGGAGGGACACTGCTGACCACTGCTTCTGTTCCCTCTCCCAGGGGTTGTCCTAATCTCTTTATCCTATTACCCAGCTGGTGCCCAGAGCACAAGAGGCCACGTGAGCAGGAAAGTCTTTGCTGGATGGGGCCAATGCTGGGGTTCTTCTCCTCTGTGTGTGAGCCATCAGGGGTGCCCTCTGAGAGCAAAGTAGAGAAAGCAAGCAGGTGCTCAGACCCCACATTTGGTCTCGCACAGCCCTTTACTGTTGTTATTACCCCACCCCACTCCTTTGCTCCTGGCTAGGGTGCTGGGCCTGGGCCTGGGAAGGGGCAACAGTACCTCTTTGCGCTCCTGGAGCTTGGTTATCATGATGATGAGGGGTGCCTCCTCCTGCCACACCATATCCCAGAAGTCGGCCACGGTGTTCAGCATGGGTCCCTGGGTGGCGATGTATTCCCGGGGCCGCCCTGCATAGCCCTGCCAAGAACATGGTCCACCAGTGACGCTGGGGGGGGGACCCTGACGTGCAAGGGGAGCCTGTCTCCAGGCCACCCCAGCTCTTGTGGTGCTTGGCTTCCTCTACAGGTGAGAGGCTGAGCCACATGGGCTATTTCCTACTAAACCTGTCCTTCAAATGCTTTTATAGACCTGATTGGGAACTACCAGACATCCTCTCCATCCTCCCAGTCCCACAATCCAGGATCAAGCCCACGGAGCAAGCCGTGTGCACCCAAGCTTCTTGCAAGTATCCCCAGGTTATTGGTGTGACAATAGCTGGCGTGATGGACACCTTGGCGACGCAGAGCTGACGCAGGGATGTCACTTCTCACCAGAGGCATTTCTCCAAGGACAAGCAGAAGTCATCAAGCTCCACTCTAGGTGGGACCTGGGATAGTCCCAGCTGGGTCCCACCAGTGCTGCCTCCCCACCAGGCTCAGGAGGGGACGTGGCAGTGCCCAGCAGTGGGAGGACTGGGTCTGGGGACACCTGGAGGAGAGGTCAGCACAGGCCACTGCCCTGCCTCTGCCCCAGCCTCTGTTTTACAGGTCCAAGCATCCTCTGCCTCCATGGTCACTTCCTTCCCCAGTATAAAATTGCCAAAGAAACAGAAAAGCTTGGAGGTGCTCCAAGTCTGCTCAGCTCCTGCTTCACACCATGGCCTCATGGGCAGTGCTGCTGGCCCAGCAGCAGGGAGAGCATGCAGCGGCAGCAGGCAGGAGCTGGAGGACAGGCACGGGCAGAGGTGTGGGAAAGTAACGGGATCTGTAACGTGTTACTCCAGCTCCCAGCTGGAGATGCAATTTGGCAATACAGCAAGGAGCCAGGGACCCAGCTGAGGATGCCTGGGGGATGCTGGGGGAGGCACCCACAGCACCCACAGCTTTTGGAAAAGCCAGTACACAGCACTCTGGGCAAAGTTTCATGGCTTTGTCAAAAGAGATCTCAGTTAAAAATGCACCTAAACCCCTGTGATTTAATCCAGGTCTTTCCAGGAATCCTGTTAACAGTTTGGTCCCACAAGAAGTTGCACTGGCCCAGCCAAGGGGCAGGAACATTTTCAGGAACATTTTGTATAGCCCTTTTCTCATGCCTCAAGATTATTTCTTTTTTGTAGGAAACATGATTTTCCATTCAGAAGGAGACTTGCAGTAAGACCTGGAGGTGTCAACACTGGGAATTCCCCCCAACCTGCTCCTCATTCTCAAAAACATTTCATGGGATATAGCCAGCAGGAAAAACATTCAGTCCCAGGTGGGGGCTAATGTGATCAAATACCTGCAGAGCTCTTCCAGACTCGCTCTGCCTCCCAAGCATGCCAGAAGCAGCCTGGGATGCTAAAGTGCCCACAAATTCCTGCACCGTGACAGCCCTGGAGAGGTGAAAATACCAGCTCCACACAGGGATGTGTGGGCACATGTGCTCAGGTGTGTGCACGTGTATGTGCACATGTGTGCGAGACAGGGATGGGTAGTGTTTGTGCATTTTTGTTAGCACTCCTGTGAGACGGAGAGGATGCCACGTGCTCGCATACACCCTGATGCACGTGGACAAGACGATGGCGTCACCCAACGTGAAGCTGCGTGCTGCCAGGCTGCTTCAGGAAGACTACTCAAAGCAGTCCTCTGTTGCCCGTGTTCAAACCCTCATTTGGACCAGCAAGCCTCCCAACAGTTTTAGGCATGGTGCTTCTGTGGCCGAAGTCAGATGTTGACCGCCACTGCAGGATGCCAGCAGCTCACATCACTGCTGCCTCGTTGGATCACACCCATGAGCACCATAAGAAAAAAAATGCTACTAAATGCCCTCCAGCCCCAGCCTGCGCCCTCTGACCACCTCCCAGGGGTCTGCCCGTCATACTCTAGTATGGCACTTCTGTGGGCTACTTTTCCGAGTCCCACATTCCCACACTCTCCTCGCTGCCACGCACCCAGAGTGGCTGTGGACCCACCTTTGCTTCCCAGTGCCCCTAGCCTGTCCCAAGGGGAAGGATGCTGAAATGAGATGAATTGCTCAGAAAGAAGCCTACCAACCAGGCAAAGCTGGTACCTGGCTGACACAAGAGCCTGTTTTAGACTGACGCATGGTTCAGCACAACAAGTGAGACTGCAGCCTGGAAGGGGTCATTTGCACAGCAGGATGATTATCATAAATCAAGCTGCCTGAAGTAACACCCTTGGGTCTGGGAATTTCTCAGTCTCTGGAAAGGGACCCCATCGGGTGTCAAAGATAAGCCATGCCCTCCCCTTCGTTAGCTTTCTTCTTGGGAGACTGCAACAAACCCCCTGAGCAGAGAGGAAATTCCTAGATGTGTAAGGGTTGAACAGCACCGGGCTGCCATGCTCTGTTGACGTGGCTTGCCTCCTGTGGCCTTACCAGACAACAGGCTAGTGCACGAGGAAGAGATGGAGAAGCCACTGAGACGGAGCCCATATGGGTGCTCAACCCACCCAAGCAGTGGGAGCCAAAAGCAGCCACCTTGTGAGGCTTTCCCACCAAAAGGGACACCGAGTCTGCTCTGCACGGATGGAGCCACATCTCTCCAGCTCAGAAAGGGGTGGCAAGTTCAGACTGCTACCCCAGGGCAGCCACGGGACAATGGGTGACAGTCAGTGTCCTGGCATGCGGGTCCCGGTGTGGCACCTGTAGTGCTGAGGAGTTTGCAGTCCGATGCCCTGTGAGCCATGGGCTGCAGGACCTGGGAGACCACCCGCTCTCCAACCAAGCAGGACACTCACCGTGATGTAGTTGGCGTTTATGTAGCTGTCTTCCTCCTGGTTCCCTGCCCTTCTGAGACAGACCCGGCTCTCAGGATCTGAAAGAGATGGGAGGCATTACCCCAGGGATAGTCTTTCAGAGCCTGACCCCGCTCATCCTCTCTGCCTCAGCCTCAGAGGCTGGAGACTGAGTCCTCCCAGCTCCATGCCATGCTCAGAGCTGTCTGCACCCTCCCTTGGGCCCCTTTTTGCCCCATTTCATTCTCACTACCATGGCAGGGTACAGCCAGCCATGCCCAAACTTGCCTGTACCGCAGTGAGCATGTGGGGTATCTCACCCGCCAGGCAATAACCCCCAGGGCCCTCCCACAGTGCCTGACTAGAGGCCAAACGAGTCCTCCTATAATGTTCTCAGCCTTTATACCCCCAGCGACATGCCCTTGGGACATGTAAGGCCCCCACAGTGGCAGGGAGCAACCCAGGCTGGGCTGTCATGCTGGGCTGTCGTGCACTGCACACCCTGGGAGTACACCCCAAGGAGCAGCTCCCCACATACCACCCTATAACACAGCGTACACCCCCTGCAACCCAGCACCCAGCTCCTGCAACACGGGGAGCAGGAACAAGCACGGCAGGAACACCAAGAGCACCCAGGAGTGCCCACCCTGGTGCAAGGCTGCTCTGAGTCACCCCTCTCCCGTGCACAAACACCCATGCACGCGCACACACACACATGTGCATACACGCCCCCTGCTCCACACATGGCACCTGGGCAAATGTGAGGCAAAGGGATGCAGTGGCACATACTGGGGAGGATGGTTTTGTATCTGTCCTTGGCGGCACGTCCAGGGATCTCCAGCTCCTCCAGACTGACAAAGTTGGGTGGGATTTTCTGCAGGAGGAGAGAACAACTGTGAAGAAAACTCCATTGCTCTGCTGCTTGTGTCCCCTCATCGTGGCAGAGCTCGTCCCCCAGGCAATGAGACGCTGACCCAGGGACCTAGCAGCATCACCAGAGATGTCAGCTCCTGGGATGAGCCCTGTCCTTAGGCCAGATGTGGTGGGACACCTTCCAGAGGGGCCACCTTGGGAGAAGAGTTTGGCATGGGAGAGCAGGACAGGCTTCCCAGGGATGCAGGAGGGACTTGTGTGCACCAGGGAGAGGGCAGCCAGGGGATACCCAGGGCACCCCTCACCCCTGTCTGCCCACATCGCCTTCCCTGCCACTGGTGCTGCTGGGCACAGCTGGGCTCGGAGCCTCCCTCCGAGATGTCCACCCCTGCCAGTCTGCCCCCCGACCAGCCCCTGCCATTCCTCGTGTGAAAACATCCCTCATACCGAAAACTCCTCCTGGAGCTGTGTCAGGCTCTGGGCACGTTGCTGCAGCTCCTCTCTCCTCAGCACGTGGCTGGATGTCCTCAGGAACTTCAGTGTGATGTCCCGTGGCGTGCAGACGGGCTGGATGGGCTCCACGCTCCCCAGCGAGCTCATGTCCAGCATCAGTGACACATTGGAGCCCCTCCTGTGAGGCAAAGGGGTCCCTGGCTGACCCTCTGCTACCCTGGGACAGGAGGGCAGCCCATCCTGCCATGTCACCAGTTAAAACCACCCCACACCGAGCAAAAGTCAGGCAGAGAATAACAGAGGATGAAGAATGGGGCCAGGTAGAGACCCCAGAAGATGTGGGGGGCGGGTTGAGGAACAAGGAACTAGCTGGTCATTTCACCTTTTTGCTGGAAAGCCCTCAAAGCCTGGTGTCTAGATTTGGCCGGGGCTAGGCGGGGTGGGGGTCAGGGCTGCCTCCACGCTTAGATCTGGCATCTGCACAAGTTGGCAGGCGGTGGGCTGGCTGGGCTGGGCTGGGAGAAGGAAGTTTGGGGGAGCCCAAGCCCTGGGGATGAGCAGTGCCATGGGTACCCGCCGTTTGGGCTGAGACAGGCAGCACGGGGTTCGGGCTGCAGACACCGTCCAGCCACGCTCACCTCTCCTGAAGACGCACGTGCTTCTTGGCAGAGGGACTGGGCTTGTCTGTCTTGTCCATGTCTGCCCCGGCTGCCCGGGCTGTCAGGCTGCTGTTATGAACTCTGGAGCACACCAAGCAGGCTTGTACCATGCTGCGGCAGCCACAAAGCCCTTGTCCTGAAGCACAGGGAGTGGACACGGGGGGCCCTCAGCTCCCAGGGAATCAAGGAGCCATCAGAGGAGAAGGAGCTGGAAAAGAAAAGGCAGATCTGAGAGATACCATGAGGCTGGGTGGATGCCCTGACGGATGATCCCTAAGCAAGGGACAGGTTTTGGGTCCTCAGCTGCCCTGGAACTGGGGCCCCCAGCCCCTGCATCCAGGTGGGTGGCATAGGGAGAGCTCCCAGCATGTTCACCCTCCAGGACACCCGCAGCACTGCAGCCCACACAGGCACCCACTGGTGACCCTGGGCATGGCACCGATGGCTGTCTGCTTGCACCGAGCGGAGGACACCCACGCCCTGTGTTGGCAGAGCATGGTCTAGTTTTGGGGGAGCCCAAGATGCTCTCCATCTCCATGGGAAGCACCGTGTGTTTCCTGCCCTTCCCCGGCATGCCTGCTTCAGCCTGGGGACATGACGGGAAGCGGGGAGAGCTGGGACCCACATGAGCACAGCAGCATTCAGCAGGTGAGATGGGGTGGGTTGTAGGCACCACAAGGAGCATGGCCAGCTCCTGCTATTGGGAGACACGGGGCCAGGCACCCTCAACAGCCTCGCAGCTCTGGCAAGGGAGGCGCTGGGACAGTCTCCTCCATCCCACAGGTCTCAGCAACCATCAAGAGGAAACTGCTTTATCTGGGTGGTTGAGCAAGAGGCAATGGGGTAGCCCAGCTGGAGCGGGGTGCTAGGGCTCCACTGCCACCAGCCCCAGGACAGCCCCTGGCAGGGATGGGGAGATGCAGGTGATGCTGCTTCACCTTTGGGCAGAGCTCCTCACGGTGCAGGCAGCACCCTGGGATCGTGAGGCTCCTTCTCATCCCCAGCTCCCTTCTTGAGAAGGAGATGGATGCCAAGGGACAGGGGATGCTGCAGAGTTGGAACTCTCAGTGGGCAAAGAGCGGGATCCCAGATACCTCATCAGCTCAGAGAGGTCTTGCAGAGAACCGGGTCCACGCTGTGGCCGTGCTGTTTGGGAAAACGGCTGGGGCAGGAGCTGTTCCCCATGACTCCCTGCTGGGTGGCAGCATTTCTGGGGGTGGCAATGCCACCGCTGCCATGCGCACCATCCCCGTGCTCCAGGCAGGGTGCCCTGTGCCCTGGCCAGGCAGGGCAAGAGCGGCTGCTCCCCAGGAGTCGCAGCACCAGGGGAGATCCTGGCCGGAGACAGCAGCAGGCTCCAACCCCAGCAGCCGTCCCTCGCACACCGGCCAGGAAACACCTGGGAGATGCCCCAGCCAAACCCCTGGCAGGCAGGAGGGCCCTGGGAAGAGCCCCAGCTGCCAGCACCTGCAGGGAGAGTGTCCCCATCACCCTGCCCAGCATCCCAGCCCTGCCCAGGGCTGCCCGGCAGCGAGCACATGCCCACTGCCTATGGGTGCCAGGGCCTATCACTGTCTGGTGGGGGTCCCCTCTCCAGTGGGCGGCACGGGCAGGCTGGGGGGCTGCCTACCTGCTGCCCCGTGGCGTGGGCTCCGTCGGTCCTGGCACAGGCCCGCAGGCGCCGCGCGTGTCGGTCTAACACCACGGTTTGAAAGTGTTCAGGAAGCTGCTTATCAAAGGAGCTGCTGCCTCTGCTGCTTCCTCTCCCTCCTTCTCCCCCACCCTGCCTGCCGCCCACACACATACCGGCCACATCGCCGCAGCTCGGCTCCGCTGGGCCGCCTGCAGCCCCAGCCCCGCTCCCCGCCGGCGAACCCCTGTCCTGAGCCCTGCCTCCCCAAAAATCCTGGGGTGCCTCCATGGGCATCTCCAGCAGGGCCAGTGGGGTGTGCTCGGTGCCCTTTGCAACCAGCCATGGCCAGTGCTGGTGCCAGCCCATGGGGCATGGAGGGACAGGCGAGACCTGGCCATGGGACTGGGGCCACTGGCAGAAGGGTCGAGGTGGGATGCTTCATTTGGTGCAGTGGTGCTGCTCTGGGGACACCAGACCCCACCTGCCCCACAGGGAGCCAGAACAAGTCCTCCCATCCCTGCCACCCTGGCCATATCCCCTTGCCCAGGCTGTGCACCAGCCATTCGCCAACCCACTGCGGGGTGAGTCAGGGTTCGGCACCTCCCACGCTCCATGCCTGGCCATGCGCAGTGTGGTCCTCATGCCACCCTGTCGTCCCCCTAACCCATCTCTCTGTGGGTGCCACCCCCCACCGCTCTCGACCTGGGACCATCCCTGGGCACCTCGAGGGAAGACACGTGGGCTCCCCCTCCCCAGCAGGGCTGGGAAGGGGGTGTATTTGGGGAGGAAGGTCCCTGGAGGGTCTGGCTCAGGTAGGACAGGTCTGCCCTTGGGGGCACTGCACATCCT